AAGGCCTGGCCGGAGAAAGCATCACATGTGCAGGCAGCAAGTGTTGGGGTACTGTCCTGTCAGTTCAACATATCTTTGGAAAGAGACCTTCTCAAGTGTGTGTGTGTGTGTGCGCGGTACTTTTCTATATAAACATTTGCATGCTGGTTTGTTCACATCCAGGGGTCACTACTTATGAATGAATACCTTCATGAATATATATGTAAAGGACTTTGCCAACAAAGCGTTGCAAAAACACTTTGGTCATTTTTCCCGCTTGCTCGAGGGATGCACGACCAATGGTCAACTCGATTTTACCATATAGAGGGAGCCACGCACTTCAGCGCTGCCCACTCCGCACATACACTTGCCCACCTTTCCCCTATTCGACGCCAAGTTTCTCAAACGGACACGTTCATGTATAAGTCATTCATGTCAAATCTAACTATCCGTTGGCCCACAAAAATTGGCGTGTTTTCCGTATGCTTCACCAGGGGGTCTGGTGGACACACATATGTGAGCCCCACAATCGATCACTGGTTCGCATCCTTCAGATCACTCTGTGAAGTCAGAGCGATGCATCTATAAGCCCGCGCTACCCCGATTCCTGCAGGATTTTGAACGGAGAAACTCTCACTTAGCGACCGCTGGCATTATTGGCCATCAGCAAGATTGCCAGCATACCATTGTGCTTCAACTTCTGGAAGTTGATGCTGTCCTTCTCATAATCCTCTCCCTTCTCCAAGCCAAGGGCCTGAGCACAGGAGACAAGTCCTTGTGCGATAATGTACAGCGTCAGCCAGGCTTGTGATTGACATTGTTGTGAGCTACCCTCCCATTCTTGCCATTAAAGTACGCTCCTGCCACTGCATATCATCTATATAATATTTACGTAGAGTGCTCGGCAACATGATGAAACATGAACCGCCATGCGCACACTTGAGTGCATACATACATGCTTGCTGAGTGGCTGCAATCCATCCACACTTGACAGCGACTGCAACCTTCTGCGGATCATATCCGGGTGAGTTGGCGAAGGAGAAAAACAAGACATCCTTGCCGGTTTCGATCAAAGTGACTCCACATTGACCTTTCGTCCAATAGATGGTCATCCTGTGATATAGCAGGTCAGGCTCAAAAGAACGGACCTCCACCTTGAAACTCTGATTCTTGACATTGGTCATTGGATCAAATGGTTCTGCAAATTGTCTGAACTCAGCAACCAACTTTTCTGAATAGAGTTCATTGCTTTGTAGCGACTCGACAGTCATGCCCCCCCGGGTTGGCCTTTCTCCCTCTACGGTTGCCTGCCTCGGCTTTGGGCTTGGGAGCAGGCTTGGCTTTGGCCTTACCGGGTTTGGCGGTCTTGGCCTTGCCGGGTTTGGCGGTCTTGCCCTTGCCGGGTTTGGCGGTCTTGGCCTTGGCGGGTTTGGCGGTCTTGCCCTTGCCGGGTTTGGCGGTCTTGGCCTTGGCGGTCTTGGCCTTGCTGGATTTGGCGGTCTTGGCATTGTCTCGAGTAGTAGTCTTCTCATGTGCCTCGAGATCCCGCTTGTTGCGTTTCTGCCTCTTCTGATCACGGGAACTGCCAGTTGGATGCGTCATCACACCCCAATCCTCCTCATACTCACCCCAATCACCATCATCCCATTCACCATCCCAATCACCATCCCATGAGGTTGCCGCCGGCTTTTGACTCTTGGCGCGCTTGGACTGGCTGCGGAGCAATTTTCTTTTGCGAGTAGTAGGCGAGTTTGTTTTTCTCTGCTTGCCATTTTTCTTTTTAGCCTGTCCCTTGCGGGCGGCCTTCTTGGTAGCTTTGAAATTCAACTGGTCATTTCGGGTCAGGATCGGTGCCTGTACCTTCCCCTCACCCTGTTCTTTGCCCGCATTCTGCTCAGTCTCCCCATCACCCGGTTGGTTGCCCGTCTGCTCAGTCTGCTCCACGACAGCGGGTGCCTAAGCTTAGCAGCTATAGGTTTGTGACGGACTGGTTCGTTTGTATGATATGGTAGCACTTTCCACACTCTTTCTAATATATAAAATTTAAATGTCATATATATATATATAGCAAAAGAATGTTTGTGCACGGCTTGTTGCAACTAGTTCTCCATCAACTGCAGCGCTTGCAACAGGCGCTGCTGGATTCTCCGGACGAGACCCTTGGTACTGCTCTCGGAGCTTTTCAGTAGACACATGAGGTGATGCAGAACGAGGCAGTGTCTCTGGAGTTTCAAGAGTGGCAATGTCCACAGGCTGAGTTTCTTGATGGTCAGCGGCTGCTTTCGCAGAACCACCTGCCAGAGTTTTCATGTTTATCCGGGCCGAGAAAGCATTGAATAAACATCGATCTCGATAAATACAGATCCACTGCGCAAGTAAAGTGCACGGGTTCTCAAAGTGCCCCAAAACCCAACCCAGACATTGCCTGGATTCCCTGGACTGAGGTCTTGGGACTTCAGCAATCGCATGCGCTCGTTCAGCTGACGCTTCCGTTCCTGGATCCTGAGCTGCGTGGGGGAATCGAGAAGAACCTGGATGGCTATTATAGCGAGAGTGTTTTCACAATTAACGCCATGACCAAGTCTGTGCATTTGTATCATGTCTCTTCACACTGTTTGGCATGTTTCTGGGCGTTTGTGTTGCTTAGCCCAGCGCTCTTCCAATTTTTTCCGGGCTCTTTCCAGATCCAATTGTTTGATCTCTGTGGCCGTGAGTGCACCTGATTTCACATTTTGACCATGCACTCAGGCCCCCCCCAAAAAAGAGCAGTGAACATTAAACAAGATTTGCAAACAGCTGTCAAGTCCTGTGCAGTTAGATTTGAATTGATCTGAGGATCCTACCTCCATCATCTTTGTCTTCAGCATCTTTGGTGGGAGGACTGGACTTGGGTGGTACAGGTTCTTTGATCTCTGGAACGCTGGGCTCAGAGGCTGGAAAAGTCGGGGTTGATGGAACAAGCTCACCACCAGCAGACAGCAACTGTGGGTTTGAGGGTGCTGCTTCTGGTTCGGGGATGGTTGGGATATCCTTCCCCTTAATCTCACCAATCTCTGCGTCTGAGTCCTCTTCGTGCTCATCATCGCTAGACTCCGGTTCATCATCATCGTGGGCGTCAGGATCAGAGTCTTTCTGATCTATAGATTCTCTGCTGCCCTGGCTTCAAGCCATGGATACCACGCAGGAACAGGTGTGTGCGTGTATGCATGTATGTGGTTGAAGTCAAAGAACATCAGCGAGACGAATCCTGCAATATGAGATTTCTTCAACAATTTGATTTTGTTTTAATGAATACAGGAAATGGGTTGAGAAAAGTCAACGGCAATCAAGCGCCTTCTTCCGCTCTCTCTCTTCAACCGCTTCATTGATTTTGTCGCAGATATCCTATGCATGGGCAATGGGTGCAAGGGGGGAAGGAAGTAAAAAGACTACGGGCATACTGCGTACTGTAACAAATAGATGACAAAAACACTGACCCGTGCCCACTCAAACAGTCCTGAAGTCCCGGGTTCAAGATGAGGCACAACTGCTGAAACCCTTTCACCTTGGCAAGCGATTGAAGTACATGGTGAGTGGGATGATGGGTCACTGGCATGTGACATATCATGTGATCCTGTGTGGACTGATGCATTCAAGTAGTAACTTAAAGATTGCAGTTTGTGAGGCAAAACATGATTAAACGATCCAGTTGAGTGGCCGTGCTCACCTTTTGTTTCCTTGTCTTCATCTTCACCATGGCGGTAAACTTGCGAATGTGCCATGAGTCACTGATGATAGCACCCTCGATCGGTGTTCTTCCACACTTTTCATACAATAGGGTTAGTTGGTGCCGCAAGGCATGCACAGAAGGCTGAGGCATACCTTCGGTTTGGACAGTGCGCCTCATCAAGTCCTCGAGTATGGCATGGACCTGCGGTTTGCACGCATCCTTCACGTTCTGACAAATATTATCATCAAAAAGAAAGGGGGCTCCGTCTCCTCGAAGGTAGTCTCTAATCCTTTCATCACGTTCCATCTCAACCGCGAAGTCTGAAAGGTCCATCTTCGCCTTCCCTTCCGCCTCACCCATGGCAATTATGGCAAACAGTGAGACCCACTTGAGCAAAATGCTTGAGTCTGCGTGAGGAGGTTCAGTGAGACTCCAAAGTGAGGAAAGGGGAATGTTCATTGGCAACATAAGGGCTTTGAGTTGGTCAAATTCCGTACGTCAACCTTATAAAATTGATATGACGTCAGTTCATTTGAGGAGGCCCAACTTAAGAGTGGATCCAGCACTGCACAGCAAGCATTGTGCAGGACCTGGCCTGCATTGAGTGAGCCATTGGCTGCACGGTCCAGTGATGAAAAAAGATTCTGCCAGCTGGGTGGCAAGTGCTCGAAAGGATAGATGTATACCAGCATGTCAATGTAATTCAGGCTTTCGTGTAGCTTAAGATCTGTAAGTGTGGTTGCTGTCAGCATGGCGCTCATGCAAGTGCTTCATGACTGTAACTGAGACCCTTGATGCTGTGCCATGGTAAGCGATCGGTCTCCAATTTGTTGATCATGAGCCGGCTGGAGGTGTAAGAATGCTCAAAGGATGGCCAATGGGGTTTTGACCACTTCAAAAGAAGGGTTCTTGACAAGAACCTCTGTTTTCAAACGAAAACGAGGTTTTTTATGAAATCTTCCTGAGAACCAGGTTCTCGAATTCGGACCTACAAAAAGAAAGGTCCAAGGTTCGCTAGGTAGAGGATGCTGGTGCTCGTCCCAGATGCTTTCGCCCTGATCCCAGAGACTCCACCAGACTGGCAGCCGCGCTTTCGGCCTGCCATTTGGGGTGGTTGATTGATCCAGTGTCAATCAACAAGTATACCGACTTAGACCTTCAAAGAAAGGGGTGCTCCGATCCACAAGTAACTATAGGGTATTCCATTGGAGACCCCGACATGAAGGTGCTGGTATATGTAAGGGTATAGTACCAGTCAGTGGTCCAGTCTGGTCCTGCCAGCACCACCCCTTCACGTCCGCCACCAAGGCACAATGGCAGATCTACACTTCATCGGTAACGGATGGGGGAAGCTCGTCGCAGCACAGATAAAAACTGCTCGAGCTGCGGTGCCGGGCAGAAGGCAAAAAGTGTGCAGTGCATAGTGAAGCGAAGATGCCTAAAAATCCAAGTATACCTTCTCAGGTACGGTGATGTGTTCGACACTGAGACATCTAGGTTCGGAGGGTCCACCAAGTACCGAATCCCTAGGGAGTGATGCGAAAGTCGGCTTTTCCTCCCAACTCGTCTGACTCGTGAAGCACATCTCGTTCGAGTCAGTCGGTCGCCCATTGAATCCTGTTCAACGATTTGCAGTTGGAGGAGTGGGCCAAGGACTATATGTGTTCTTCAGATTTCAAAGGGAATCTCTACCAGCACCGACTTCACAGGTCACCCATTGAATCCTGTCTTCGGGCCCTTCAGGAACCCTCCATTGCGGAGACCTGTTGGGTTCGGTGCTGGTAGAAATCCGCGACGAAACACTTGCCGAGCTCCGGAGTTCCACCGCCCGACCGGAGGCTCCACTGCCCCCGACCGGAGGCCGGACCCAGCTCCGCTGGAGCGGAGCTCCACATCGGCCAGGTGTTGGGACGACGGTGCCCGGGTCCGGTTCACTGGAATTCCGCTTCACCCGACGTGGGAAACAGAGCTACTTCCGGTTTCGCGGTGCCCTTGAAGTCAGCGCTGACTGTCGGAGCGCAGGGGTGTCGGACCTGTGGTCGGGTTCAGGGTTGTCCAGCCAGATGACCCGTTGGAGTCATGGACCAAGTCCATGACTCCCAGACACGACCTCCATGGGACTGGAATATTTACCGATCAGTTGGGGTGGTTGACCTGGGGTCAATGTCTGCATATATTCCAGTCCCAAAGAGGTCGTGCCTGGGACTGTTTGGCTTGCCAAAGACGACTTCATCATCTGAATACGATGGAACCGATTCGGCTCTCTCTCGGCAGATGGAAAATAAAGGACACCGATTCCCTCTGGCGCTCCATGGGACTGGTTGACCTACATTCACCCCTTTTCAACCAACCACCCCTACATTCACCCCAATGTAGGTCAAGATGCCAGTCCCATGGAGTGTCTGGGATTGGTCATGTCATGGGAGATAGGTTTCCCATGACACGGTCCGAAAAACAGGCGACCAAGGAGGGGAGGCCCCCTTGTCCACCCCATGTCCAATCCTCCTGTGAGAACCTGCGATGCCCGGATTCTGGGGGCAGCTCAACTGGCATGGACGACCCATCACCACACTTTCTCGGGCGGCCAGCAGTGACATGGTGCGAAAACCGAAAACCGATGCTGTTGCATGCAGAGAGATAACCTGTCTTTCTTTTAGGATGATTTGATATGATTCGCATGTTCCATCATGTTTTCCCTATGGGGAGAGATATGCCTTGTTCTTTTCCCCGGCTGCGACAGCCAAGGACGGACCCTGCGCGTTGACTTGGAGGTTCCTCCAACCCGAACGGATTCCTGGCCTGGCCCACCATTGATTTAATCAGATATAGTGGTCTGAATCCCAAAGAACCAGTGTTGGGGTGTTGGATACTGCATCCTGCAAATATTCGAGAATGAAGCCCCAGAATTCCTGGCCCCCCATTACTTCAAAAGAGGCTAGCCTTTTACTAAGGATTTTAGAGGACAAAACCAGGTCATCATAGGTCAACCATTCTTCTAGGCTGGTCGAACTGAAGGCCAGGTCAAAGAGTACCTGCCAAAATGGCCAAACACTGGTGCCCATACGAGCACCTACTGTAGTGATGACCAGAAATCACCGGAAAAGAATCTTCCTGTTCTTATTGGGATGCTTTGGAGAAGACGAGGTCGCAGGTTGACCAAAGCACCTCAGCAAAGACCCAGCAGCAAAAACATGTGAGAAGAAATTGATGCCAGGAGACCACAAAGGAATGATTTCTTGGACCCCAAAAGGGCAGATTAGACTATGGGGCATTGTAAACCTGAGGCGCATACCAAACAAGGTTTCCTGGTATATTATGCATGTTGTCAACCACCCACAAAGACATTTTTGCGGAATCGGTTCATAAAAGGGTTTGTCCGTGGTTTTCCGGACAGAGTGTCAGGCATCCAAAGCGTCCTTAAGAACATATATAAATTCGATTCAATCTCACAGCAAAAAGGCACCTTGAACACCTGTCAAGGTATTATGAACCGTATAACACAATTCGATACAATTATCACTTGGATTTGCTTAATCAACTTAAGCAACCTGGAAAAACAATCTTCCCCAGAAGAGGAATCATACATGATTGAACCAGGGGGATTTTCCCCATGAAGGTGGAGGTCCGATCCGATGTCTTGGTGGAGAAGGTCCGATGCCGAGCCCAAACTCGGATTCTGATAGGGTAGACCATCACATTCACATTTTGTGGCCTGAACAGGACCTAAGGACCTAAGGGGTCTCCATTGATAGCCCCGAAAAGAGGTGATTCGCGGTGTCCACCACGCCGGCAGTGGGTCCTAATATATATAGATCTCCCAACTTCCGCTCGATCGATCGGAGGCTCCTGGATCGGCTCGCCTCCGCTGTTCGCCTGGAAGTGGAACGAGTCCGGGATAAACCGAGGGCGAAAGCACCGACCCTGGCACAGGCCCCCAAGGCGACCCTGGACCCGACTCCTCTGGAGGGGGGTCGGGTCGGTCTCGAGGTCCGAATTCTGTCCGCTAAGGCGCTAAGGATCTTAGAAGCAGCTCCCAAACACCCCCCAAACCGGACTGCCAGCCAGGACTGCCGCCCCGACCCCCCTGGCACCACCCCTGGGCCGTTTTGAAGGCAGTCCGACATGGCAGTCCCAGACGGGTCGCGTCACCAGATCCGCGCATCGTCTCCGAAACCGACCTCTGGGACAGACCGATGGACCGGCTTCTCCGGGCATCCAGTCCGGTCAGTCGTCCAGTCCGGGCATCGAATGCAACGGATCCGATGCCGGCCGAATCATCCGATCTGAGTGCCGCATGGATCCAGTCCGGCTATCGACTGATTGATTGCTTGATGTTCTGGATCCTATCTGAGTTCCTCAACGTGAGCTCAACTTGTGGGGGGGGGCGACCTGCCACGGACTGGTCCGGCCGAATCGCTCGGCTTCTTCCACGGCGGCTGACCCGGGGAGCGGCCTTCCTTCGGTGAAAGAGCGATTCTCAGGGTGAAATACCGCGACGACCTCGTCCATAGTTGAGGTCCTTTGCTCTAAGAGTTTCACCTGAAAGTAAGAAATCCCTTTTTGAAGCAGCCAGGCTGCCAGCCTTGTGCCACCTGCCAGCCTTGTGCCAGCCCACTATTCACCCTTCTCCAGTGGCGCCGTCTCCAGTTTCTGACAGATCCCTGGTTCACATCTGGGCAATTTACAAGATCACACCGCCAACGCCATTAATTAAAAAAAAAATGACGAAATAGCAAGACAAAACCTCTGATGTCATCATACTGTGCAAACACCCACCGAACAAACAACAAACAACCACCTAGGACCATCCTCTTCTCTGGGTCATCAATGGACTACCCCACACTGCTTCGCTGGACCTCCAGTGGACACCCACAGGATGATCGGTCTTCCCGCGCCTCTTCGGCTGTGGCAATCGAGGCCTTGTGGTGCAAGGCGTCTCGCACGCGAGCAGCGGGGCGCGGCTCGCTCCCCCCGGGAAAACAAGGCAAACCAGCGGATCTGGTAAGCTGAAAAGAAGGGAGTATGTACTGAAAGATACTGAAAGTTCAGAAGAGTTCAGACGTTCAGGAGAAGAAGAATGAAATGCTTTCAGAAGAAGGCCACATCTGCAGCAGAAAACAAACTGGACCTTCCAAGATCAGTGGCGCTCGACCGAAACGCTGATCTTGGAAGCTTCAGGGATATCGCAGTTTCCTGGTCACGGGAGACCATCAAAACCTGGGAACATTGGGGATCATTGTGCGTGGTTTTTACAAGGGGTGTATAGGCCTAGGCGGAAAATCGTCGTTCGTCCCATGGAGCGTTTGGGTATACCGAATCAATCCGAATCATCTTGTACAACGACCCCCTCATCGACCGATCGATTGAGGCGCAACGCCTCGAGCCAAACGGCCGTTTCCGAGCCAAACAGAGCGCCGCGCGCTCGCGGCGCGGGCGTCGGCGGCGGAAGAGCATCGCTCCCAGGTTCCGGACACCAATCCACCGGGCACCTTGACCTGCTCCATGCCTCACGACGAGTGGCGAGAAGACGTGGGCACTGACGTGGGCGTAACCGCTTCGGCCGAAAAGCTCGGCGGGGCCCGAGCTCGCAGCTGAGATGGAGCCGGGTTGGGTTTGGGTTGTGGGGTGTGTTCCAACCACATCCGAAAGTCGCAGCGATCGATTTCATCAAAACTTCCAGGGACCCACGAATCGGTTCGTTGGGAGGCCTAGTGTTTCGAGCTCGACCAAAGCGCCATAGACCGAAAAGAAAGGGCCCCTGGTTTCTAGGGCTATATAGCGGCTGCCTCAGATCGACTGGGTAACATCTGTCAAGATCTGTTCTTTCGTGATTTGAGTTCCTGTTGTTTCCCACGTTCCATCTATGAGCGAGCTATAGTGTGGTTTGCCTGGATGCCCTGGGCTTGGGCTCAAGAATCAGAACTGGCAACCATGTCCAACCACCCTCCCTGAAACAATCGTGGAAGAGGATGACATGAGCCCTGAAGAAGACTACTCTACAAACATTGGCTTTTCTACGTAACCATGTGGTGTGCTCGTCGGAGTGTAGTCGTTTAAGGTTCCAGGCCCCAGACAATCCATGAAAAAAGAAACTGGCGACCGAGCAGGCCAGGGGTGGTTGATTTCAGGGGGCATGTAGAAATATGGGCGTGCATTAAAAGAAGGAAGTCTCCCCAGCTGACCAAACACATGGGGCCAAGGGGGTATTGAAATACATACACATACCGGGTTCTTCAAAAAAAACAGCCATCGCCAGAGTCGTTCCACGTCACCGTCTCAACCCCTTACACCCCAACTTCAATGTTGTCGGGTCAGGTTCGGCATCAGCGGCCT